GCTGCATCGATTAAGTTTAAATAATAAGGAAGCAATAAGAAATTGCTAATGTTGTATCTTAAGCCCTACACACCTGGAGTATAAGGAAGTCCTTCACTCTGCTTTCGTGTTTGAAAAGCTCAGCGCACACCACCAGAGACAAACATGCAACCTTTAACTTTAACAATGGTGGATTAAATATTGACTGCAAGTGCTGGCAAAACACTGCACAATATTAAACATTAATTGTTACAAAGAATTAAACCACTGTGAAATGCAGGGTGCTATTTATTTCAAAATTCTCATTTGAGGGCCTTCCTACTCCTGATTGGAGGGAACAAAAAAACCGGCAGGAGATAATCTCCCCCCAAAAATGTTTTGCACTATTTTTCCGCTGAAAAAAAAATATATGCCTTGCTTGTTTGTGAGGAAAAAATATCTTGCCCCTAAGAAATCTCTCAACCCCCCAACTGTTATGTCAAATATGACATAACATATATCAAGTCAAATATGAGACCTTAATTTTTTGAATAGAAAAAAAAAACATCACAATGTAAAATCTGATCATCATACCAACTGCCAACAATGAGGGGAGTTTATCATTGCTTAGAAAAAGCCCTGATTTTTGGCCTGTTTGCTTTTAATTAGGCACAGGAGTTTTGGGAGTAAGTTTTTAAGATAGCAACATTTCACTTTCCGTCATTTGCTTAGTTGTTTAGGATGTATTTTATATTATTCTATGTAACACTCCCTCTTTTCTATTGACCCAGCAGTGGCTGAAGCGTCTTTATAATGCCTTACACTTGGCATTTGGGTTAGAGTGTTAGAGTTAGAGATATGTGATGCAGTTTTGAGATTGTGTTGATGAGAGTATACAGTTCTAGGGTGTTAATTTTAAAATTTCTTCCAGTAATATTTTGTGGTACTGTAAACATTATTTTGCTTTGTTACAAAGTAATTCTTTTTTACCCATCATCCAATGTAACTTTTTGGGGATGGGAAAGGACTGGTAATATATATTAACACTGCTAGTGTTATGTTTCATTGCCTATTAGTCTCTTTTATAGAAACATGAGTCCGCCCTTGTATGCAATAGACACACACTTTTGTTCTTGGGTGATTAGAAAATCTTTGACTTTTCATTATTTAAGGCACCCCGGATTTCACAAGTTCAGAACAATTAGCTCCCTTCAATTTTTCTTAGAGCACGACCATGTCTTGGTAGCATTATGCAATGCATGTACATAATTTCAGTAGTTTAGAAAGACAGAGAAGATACTGAGGAGACTGCCCTTTGTGTTTATTTATCTGTCAAGTCACTACCTTTCCAGTACCTTTAGTCATACGGTGTACATGGAATGCATCTGAAGAAGATAACCAACAAAGTTCATTATGAAACACTATACTTAACAATTTGTTGGTGATTCTTGCATTTAAAGTCCTCCCCCGGCCTCCCCATGCAACTTTGGTAAAGGTTGATGTTGTTATCTTTTGTCTTGGGTTCAACTTATCTGTCATGCTTAGGGCATATGCTCACAATTTACGGGTGGGGGAGAGTATGTGGGATTTGGAGCGGGGGCATTAATTTTCATCCAAAACATTGGGGGCATCAAAATTCAATTGGTAATCTGTGGGGGGGCACTTAAAACTTACTTTGATAATCGGTCCGGTTTAGAGAAGTTTTTGAAAGAATAAACTTTGGGACCACTTAAAGAAGATCTCGATAAATTCCAAGCACTTTTCCACATTTAACAGATTAAAGTTATGAGACTGAAGGAGGAGATCAATGTTTATAAATATACTACAACCCTGTTTGGTCCGTTTTTGTTTCTGATAATGCTCACATGTTGAATTAAGAGTTGAATTTGATGTTTCATTTCAGTTAATAAACAGAACATTATACATGTGTTGCTTTTGTTTACTCCTTGTAAATGTATATAATTATATTTTTTATTAGATGGAAGAGCAACATACATTGAGTGGAGATGGAAATGATGATGGTGGAGGTTTGCAGCACTATTTAATTGTGTGCAGGCATACTTTAACCTTAAGAACCGCATTTGCCGGTTGTCTCTCTTACCCCTCGCTCCATAAGGAGGGATAGGAGAGGACCTTGGGAACGAGGTTGCACCCTTCACAACCTTGGCCTGCATAACTAATGTTTTACTCCTTTCGGTGATGCTAGTGACAAAAAAATGCTATGCTACCTGGCTAAGTTTCTAACAAAATGAAATTAAGAAATATAATACCAACATGTCATACATGTACATCATGTCCTTGAAAAGATATCAAACAGTGCAACTGAAACTGAATCAACAGTAATTTTGGGCTGGACTTGTAAAAGCAACGATCATTCATATTTCCACCATAAATTTGACTTGAGGGCACGACATTGTCATCCACTATTCCACAGGTTTCAGCCCAAGATGAAAGTCTTAGCAACACACAATCTTGGCCAGCATATAAGTAATGTTTTCCTCCTTTCAGTAATTATAGTATGGTCTCTTGTTTAGTCGTAAGT